GACAGCAACTATTAACTATTATCTGATAAAAACAATTTTTTGTTTAGCGACGACAACAACAACAACAACGTTATCATCATTATTCTGAAGTGAAAAGTCATATTGTTAAATTTTCACAGAATAAAATTTCGCACACATTTTCATCATTTCCCAATTTTTTTTTAATTACACTTATTATACATAAATTTTTTTTTGTTATTAATAAGAAAAACAACCTAACAGGAAATAATAAATAAAAGTAAATAAAGTATAAGTTAGAAGAAGTATCGGGCGTTGTCTCTAAAAAAAAAAAAAAAAAAAAAACAAATAAATAAAACCTTTTTTTTCTTTCTTTTAAAATCTATTTTTAAAATTTTTTCAACCGTTGTTTATATATACACTTTTTAAATATTTTTAAAACGCTCAAATTATTTAATATTATTATTATTATTATTAATAACGAATCGTAAATAATTTTTTTATTAGTTTATAAAAATAAAATCGAAGGAAAAACACCAAAAGTAAAAAATATTTTTTTAAAATTAATGTTAAACAAAAACACCAAAATAATAATAAATAATGAAATTCAAACTTACAAAAACATTGAAATTATTATCATCATCATTATTATCATTTGATAAGAGATAAAAAAATTTTTTTGAAAGAACGGATATATTGTAACGCTTAAAATAATAATAACAACAACAACAACATCGAAACGAATGATTCCGTTTTTTTTTTCTGTCTAACGTTGAAAACGAAAATCCCCGAGTTAACGCGGCGAGTTTCGCGGGTTTACTAAACACGAGGACGCATATTATATCTAATAAAAGTGGGAGTTACAGAGAAAAAAAAAAAAAAAAACAAGAAGCGGGTTCAACGAGAAATAACGTGATATCTTTGATAACGCGTCTCATTTTAAAACTACATCATTCTACAGGTAAATTATTATTATTATTATTATTATTATTATTATTATTATTATTGTTAATTAATATTGATTCGTCATCGATTTTTCTTTATTTTTTTTTATTATTTTCCAATCGAATTAAATTGAGAAAAACACACACACGCGGCAAACGATGAGTTTGTTTAAAAATTGGAAAAGTTTCCGACGGCGGAGGAGGGGAGGAGGAAAAGGGGGGGAAAATTTATTTATTTATCGAATGACGGATTGTTAGGGGTAGGGAGGGAAGGGGAGGGGCATCGATTAAACACGTTTAAAAATAATAAAAAGAAAAAATCATTGTACGTCCGACTGTCAAATCTCTTTATAATTTCTCGTATATAAAAAAATTGACATTTTCGTTAAATTTTTTATTTTTTTTTATAATAAATATTTTTATTATTATTATTATTATTTTTATAAATAATTAGGAATGTATCGCACGTGCACACACGTGACATTATTTTCTATGGCATTAATTAAAAATAATTATTTATTTTATTTAAAAAAATTTGTTTGTCATATATTATTGAAATTATTACTACTTTTAGTTTTGTTTAAACATGTTGCTATTATTATTATCATTATTACCATTATTATTATTATTATTATTATTCATTATTCATTTTAACAAACTGACATTTTATTTAACTTATGGACATTATATATTTATTTATTTATACGTTCAAAGACCTCATGATCTTATTACGACTTTTTATTTATTTATTTATTTTTTTTGCATTATTAATAATAATAATATTAATAACAACATAATTTTTTTTTAAATCCGCCATTTTTATAGTTTAAAATAAAATAATAATAATAATAATAATTTTATTATATTTATTGATTGATCGTTTTTAACTATAATTCTATTTTTTTTTTTTAAAGTGGTGAGGATTTAATCGGGGGAGGGGGGGAACAGAAACAATTTTTTTTTTGTTTTGTTTATAAACTCTTTTTAATTTTTTATAATTTATTACAAATTTTTTGTTTATGATGAAGCTCAAATTTAAATTGAAATTTAAATTGAAATTTAAAAATCGGCAAAAATTTATTTATTTATTATCATTTCAAATATTTATTTAAATAATTATACGTCACTATTTTTTTTTTTTTTGTAAACTCTATCATCACTCGACAAGGTAACGACAAAAATTATTATTATTATTATTATTATTATTTCGAATCGTTAATAATTAAATAATGATGATGATGATGATAATAATACAGAAAACAAATTTTTTTTTAAGGCAGTGTTGTTAATTAATAATATTTTCTAATTAATTAATTAATTTTTTATTTACTTATTTATCGGTTAAATTTGTTTTTAAAAAAATAAGAAATTTATTATAAATAAATTGTTATCGATAATAATAATAATAATGATAATAATAATAATATTAAAAATTCTACGTACGCGTGATGACAAAATCATTTTTAAATCGTTAACAATTTTATTTTTTTTATTTTTATTTATTTTTTTTTAAGTAAAAGTTATTTATTAATATATAATTAAAATTTCACGGAATCCATAAGTTATTTATTATTATATTTACGTACGTTAATAATAATAATATTTTTTTTTATTAGGCAGTAGGACTAGTAATTGTTTAAATTTTTAGAAAATATCGAATTAATAATTAATTAATTAATTAACAAAAAACGTTTTAATTATGTATGTGTGTTTAAGTATCTATTTATCCTTATGTACATAAATAAGGCAGTTTAAATAAATACTCATTAAAACAAAAATAATTATTTTTGTTGAAATAAATTTTTTTTTTTTTCAAATTTTTTTTAATAATTATCATTATTATTATTTTAAAATAATAATAATAATAATAAAATTGTGCATTTTTTAATAGAAATTTTTTATTATTTTTTTTTAAAATTAAAAAAATAAGAAATTATTATTTATTTAATTTTTTTTCGTTTAAATATAAATTATAATAATGATAATAATTATTATAATTTTTCTAAAATATATATATATATATATATTATTTTTTTTATCATACTTAATTAAATACTATTATTATTATTATTATTAACATTATTAAATAATCACTATTATTGGTCACTTTAAACGTTTTTTTTTTTTTTTTTTTTACTTTTTTTGTATTTTAAAGCAATTTAATAATCACGAAACACGACCCCGAAAAACAAAATAAATAAATAAAAATAAAAAAAAAAAAAAAAATAATAATAATAATAATAATAATATTAAACAATTAATTTTTCTCATAAATTATTTTATTTATGACTACTACTACTAATACTACGCAAAAAAAAAATCGTTAAATACCTTTTTTTTTCAATTTTATATTTTTCTCTCACCATCATCATTATTATTATTATTATTTTCTTTATTTAAATATTTCTTTGGATTACTTCTTTAATAATATTAATAACTTTTATTTAAAAAAAATAAAATAAAATAAAAACGTTACAAACAATTATTAAAACTATATTAAATTAAGTAACATTTCACCATAAGTTTTTTTTTTTTTTTTTATGTAAATAAATTGGCAAATTTTTTTTTTACGAAACTTTTTTTATAATAATAATAATAATTTATTTTTATTTATTTATTAATTTTTTTATTTATCTACAAATAATAAATAATTTTAAAGTACAATATAAGTGATGAAAACAAAAAAAATTTAAAAAAAAAAAAATTAAAATTAAAAATTTTAAAGCTTAATAATTTATTATTATTATTATTATTATTATTATTATTATTATTATTATTGTGTGAACGGTTATATTAAATTTAAAATTTATTAATTTTAATTAGTATATTATTATTATTACTACCATTTTGGAAAATTATATTGATATTTTTTTTTTTAAATTGGAGGGGGGGGAATGTGCAAACGTTATATATAATAATAATATTTGAAAATTTTTTATTTATTAATAAATTTAACTACTTTAATAAAAAATTTTTTTTGTACGCATACTTTAATAAACTTTAATAAAAAATTAATAATCATTATTATTATTATTAAAAAAAAA